TGCAAGTTTCTGTAGTGATCAAAGTTTTATGCTCTAATATCCTTGTTGCAACAACTATTGCACAGCAAGGATTACTACTGCAACAACACATCAGTAGAGTAAAACTAACCGGTCCTCACCACGTCTAAAACCCTGTACAAGTTTTCTTATTAGTGAACAAAAAATCCAATGTGAATTCTGCTTCAGGAGATCATCGTTAAGGATCAAAAAGATAAGATAATAATCAGATTGCTTTATTATATCTCACAGAGGAGAAATTACAAAAAGCCACAAGCCCTAATCCCAGAGGTAACGTACTGACACTTCCTGCAACTTAACAACTTACTAGCTTCGTCCTGCATCGAGCACCGTTTTCGTCGAAACAAAACCAAGCAAAGCTGTATTCTCAGTTCCTAAATTCCCGCAGTCTACTGTTCAATGCAAAAATTATGTCGGTGCATTCTTTTCACGTCTTGCGCGCCCGAGGAGGATTTTTTGGGAAGTGGGATCTACCCTGGGGTTGCGAATGTCGTGCTGTAGCGTTTTCACTGCCACTACTGTCGAGGTGCAGAACTACATTAATTTTCCGTTGTCGGTGTAAACGCGTGCACTTGAATAAGGAGCACTGCCGATTTGGCTAATATGCATTGCAGCGAAGAGCCTAAGATTCTTTAGACGTTTGGCTATTAAGCAGCAGGATGTCAAGACACGTTAACCATAGGATGAACTGGCCTTGTGGCATTTTGTAAATTTCTCCTCTGAGGATAAATAAAGCAATCTTATCTTATCTTATCTTTCTGATCCTTAACGTTGATTCTTCCTGAAGCTGAATTCACCATAGACTTTTTGTTCCACTAAAAGAAACATGTACAGTTTAACAACCGGTGTGTGACAAACCGTAGTTTTACTCAACTGAAGTGTTGTCGCAGATACTCCGTGCTGCAAAGTAGTAGCAACAAGAATTAGAGCCAATAACTTATTCACCTACAGAAACTTCATGCAATAAGATAATTAATGTGGTAATGTTTAGATTCAAGTTTACTGATGAATAAACCCATGAAGTATTAAACAACCAGAATATATACGTTATCATCTTGTGTAATACTGTTTTTTATCTGTGGTCTTTTACTAGTATCAATCAATCAATCAAAGTTATTTGTAGAGCGCCTTTCATACACAGGCAACACCAAGCGCTTCACAGTCCACATCACAAATCATCACATAAAAACAAACACCAGAATCACAATTAAAACATTAAAATCACACAAAAGATTAAAACACAATTAAAACATTAAAATCACACAAAAGATTAAACACAATTAAAACAGATTAAAATCACACAAAAGAATAAAACCATTAAAAACTTTTCAAAATTACACAAGAAATTAAAAAATATAAATAAATAAATAAATGGGACAGCAGTGCATTAGAAATCAGATAAAATCCTTCAGTTGTATGCACAGGCAAAACAGAACAGTCCTTAACCCTGGATTTGAACATTGACAGAGTAGACGCCTCCCTCACATTTTCAGGGAGATTGTTCCAAGATCTTAGCTGCATGGGATCTGAAACGCTGCCTCCCCATGTTTGGTTCTCACTCTTGCACCAGCAGGGAGGCCAAGTCCTGTGCTCCTCAGAGTCCCCGAGCCGGTTCATATGACACCAACATGTCACTGACGGTGTTGTGTGCGACCTCTGGACAGAGCAGTCGCATTCTCTTGCTGGCTCCTCCCTCGCTATGCTGCTTTTTAAATCTCCTTAATCATTTTTGCTACTTTTTTATTCCACAAAACACGGATTACTCCTTTTTACAAACTTCAACACAAGACTTGTGGAATTTACCTAACTTTACAGCATGTCAGAGGACGCGGAAAACAGAACAAAACTTTGCGACGGCTGTTTTTCACTCAACAGGAGCTAAAACTTCTTCAGACCGAATGTTTGGTGCTTGAATCAGAATTGGGGCTTAACAAACAATGACCAGTGAAGGGAAATGGACCAAATGGACAAAACGTAAGTTTATGATGACGCTATTTCATTCCCAAAATCAACAGAGACAATTGTTGGAACACATATGGTGCCAAGCCCAAACAAGGCAAAGCTAATGATAAACAAGAGTGTCATAATGCCACAGCAAAATCTTTAATATACAAGAAACCGCTTTTCCCCACTTTTGGAAGATGAATCAGCAGTAGTCTACATCAGTCCAGTCTCAGTCCCTCAGTCAAGGTCAAATGCAGCTGAGATCGCTCTATTATCGGCGATTTACGGCGATAAGACACGTAAACATGCGATAATCTCAAGGTTCACTCAGGACCTGAGGCAGCTGTCCAGTACCGGCAGGCCAAGCGTGCCGCGGCCCGGGCTGTTGCAGAGGCAAAAACCCGGGACTGGGAGGAGTTCGTTCGCCCTGATACCGAGAGTCCATGGAGCATGACTATCGGTCGGCCTCAAAGAAATTCTGGCAAACCGTCCGGCACCTCAGGAGGGGGAAGCAGTTCTTTGCCAACACCATGTACGGTGCGGGTGGAGAGCTGCTGACCTCGACGGGGGATATTGTCGGGCGGTGGAAGGAATACTTTGAGGTTCTCCTCAATCCCCCCGTCACGTCCTCTGTCTCAGAGGCAGAGGCTGAGGATGCTGGGGCGGATACATCCATCTCCCTGGCTGAGGTCACCAAGGTGGTTGGTAGCCTCCATGGTGGCAAGGCTCCGGGTGTGGATGAGATCCGCCCTGATTATCTAAAGTCTCTGGATGTTGTAGGACTGTCTTGGCTGACACGTCTCTGCAGCATCGCGTGGCGATCGGGGGCGGTGCCAATGGAGTGGCAGACCGGGGTGGTGGTCCCTCTCTATAAGAAGGGGGACCGGAGGGTGTGTTCCAATTATCGTGGGATCACACTCCTCAGCCTCCCCGGTAAGGTCTACTCCAAGGTACTGGAGAGGAGGCTACGGCCGATGGTCGAATCTCGGATCCAGGAGGAGCAGTGTGGTTTTCGTCCCGGTCGCGGAACACTGGACCAGCTCTATACTCTCCATCGGATACTCGAGGGTTCATGGGAGTTCGCCCAACCTGTCCACATGTGCTTTGTGGATTTGGAGAAGGCGTTCGACTGTGTTCCCCGGGGTGTCCTTTGGGGGGTTCTCCGGGAGTACGGGGTCGGGGGTCGTCTGCTGAGGGCCATCCGGTCCCTGTATGACCGGAGCCAGAGCTGTGTTCGCATTGCCGGCAGTAAGTCAGACCTGTTCCCGGTGAATGTTGGCCTCCGACAGGGCTGCCCTTTGTCACCGGTTCTGTTCACTGTATTTATGGACAGAATATCTAGGCGCAGCCAGGGGTTGGAGGGGGTCCGGTTCGGGGACCACAGAATTTCATCTCTGCTGTTTGCGGACGATGTTGTCCTGTTGGCTCCAACGAACCAGGACCTGCAGCATTCACTGGGACGGTTTGCAGCCGAGTGTGAAGCGGCTGGGATGAGAATCAGCACCTCCAAATCCGAGGCCATGGTGCTCGACCGGAAAAAGGTGCCCTGCCCTCTTCAGGTGGGTGGAGAGGTCCTTCCTCAAGTGGAGGAGTTCAAGTATCTCGGGGTCTTGTTCACGAGTGAGGGAAGAATGGAGCGTGAGATTGACAGGCGGATCGGTGCAGCGTGCGCAGTGATGCGGTCTCTGTATCGGACCGTTGTGGTAAAGAGGGAGCTGAGCCGAAAGGCAAAGCTCTCGATTTACCGGTCAATCTTCGTTCCCTCCCTCACCTATGGTCATGAGCTTTGGGTAATGACCGAAAGAACGAGATCGCGGATACAAGCGGTCGAAATGAGCTTCCTCCGCAGAGTGGCTGGGCGCTCCCTTAGAGATAGGGTGAGGAGCTCAGTCACACGGGAGGAGCTCGGAGTAGAGCCGCTGCTTCTCCACGTCGAGAGGAACCAGTTGAGGTGGCTCGGGCATCTGTTCCGGATGCCTCCTGGACGCCTCCCTGGGGAGGTATTCCGGGCACGTCCCACCGGGAGGAGGCCCCGCGGAAGACCTAGGACACGCTGGAGAGACTATGTCTCTCAGCTGGCCTGGGAACGCCTTGGGGTCCCCCCGGACGAGCTGGAGGAAGTGTGTGTGGATAGGGAAGTCTGGGCGTCTCTGCTTAGACTGCTGCCCCCGCGACCCGGCAACGGATAAAGCGGAAGAAAATGGATGGATGAATGGAGGAAAAGAATGTGTTTCGGGACCTGATTGTGACCAATCACAGCGGACCACTGGCCCCCACTTTCTTGACAAAAGCTACAGGTCTCTTGTTAGCACAGACAGCTGAGGTAATCAAGCGGCGGAGGCTAACCTGAAACTTTCCGTGTCTTCGATACCAGTTACTGCTTACTCAGCAAAACAGCCAAAAGAAAGTCTCGTTCCTCCACGCTTCCCGGTTCTTTCATTCTATGGTCACGCCATCCATGTGAGACGTGAGCTCTATAAACAATTAGCACACAGGCTGAGGGGGAGGGGGGTAGTGGGGTGTGAAAGCTCCGTGGGTGCAGGGAGGGCGAGCAAAAAGAGCGAGGCCAGCGCTCTCATTCGAAAATGTCACAAAGTCAGTTAGTGCAGCTTTAAGTTTGTCATTGAATGTTTTAGAATGTGAACTAAAATTGTAAGTAGAAACTATACGGAGGACAAATCTCAAGGGTAAATAAATGCTACCTGTCTTTTGTCACTCTAATAGATAGATAGATAGATAGATACAGTATATACTTTGTTTATACTTTACTTTCCCACACGCTGCTGAACATCCAGGGGGAGGACATTGAGCTGGTGGACAGCTTCAAGTACCTGGGTGTTCACATTAACAATAAACTGGACTGGTCCATAACACCAACGCCCTGCACAAGAAGGGCCAAAGTCACCTCTTCCTTCTGAGGAGGCTGAGGTCCTTCTGAGGAGGCCTCTGCTCAGGACTTTTTATGACTCTGTGGTAGCCTCAGCCACTACGCTGCTGTGTGCTGGGCCCCGGGCAGCACAGAGCGGGACAGGAGCAGAATGAACAAGCTGGTCAGGAGGGCCAGCTCCACTCTGGGCTGCTCCCTGGACTCTGTGGAGGAGGTGAGGGACAGGAGGCCCCTGGACTCTGTGGAGGAGGTGAGGGACAGGAGGCCCCTGGACTCTGTGGAGGTGAGGGAAAAGAGGCCCCTGGACTCTGTGGAGGTGAGGGACAGGAGGCCCCTGGACTCTGGAGGAGGTGAGGGACAGGAGGCCCCTGGACTCTGTGGAGGAGGTGAGGGACAGGAGGCCCCTGGACTCTCTGGAGGTGAGGGACAAGAGGCCCCTGGACTCTGTGGAGGTGAGGGACAGGAGGCCCCTGGACTCTGTGGAGGAGGTGAGGGACAGGAGGCCCCTGGACTCTGTGGAGGAGGTGAGGGACAGGAGGCCCCTGGACTCTGTGGAGGAGGTGAGGGACAGGAGGCCCCTGGACTCTGGAGGAGGTGAGGGACAGGAGGCCCCTGGACTCTGTGGAGGAGGTGAGGGACAGGAGGCCCCTGGACTCTGTGGAGGAGGTGAGGGACAGGAGGCCCCTGGACTCTGTGGAGGAGGTGAGGGACAGGAGGCCCCTGGACTCTGTGGAGGAGGTGAGGGACAGGAGGGTGCTAGTCAAAGCCACCTCCATCATGAACAATACCTCCCACTGCACAGGACTGTAGAGGAGCTGAGGAGCTCCTTCAGTGGAAGACTGAGGCACCCTCAGTGTAGGAAGGAGCGCTACCGCAGGGCCTTTATCCCCACCGCTGTCAGACTGTACAACAAGTCACTTTAAGTCACTGTATAAGACTGAAAAACCTGCACTACTATTGACACTGTTTCTGATTGCCACTTTGAAACTGCCACTTTTTTATTGTACATAATATATCCTGAATTTAACATGTTTGCACATTTCCTCCCTTTTTTGGCACAATCTGAGTGTTTCTATCCATGCCAAATGTGACATGAACATTTCTCCTCCTTGTGAGATAAATAAAGAATATCTTATCTTATCTTGATCCAAAAAGGAAATTGTGCATTGGTCCATTGCTCGCAATCATACAAACATAGGATAGAGTTAAATCATTAAACGAGAGAAGTTAAGGAAGACACTGCAAGACAATTCTGAAGACCTCGCCCTCCCTCCTCCTCCCCCCTCCTCCTCCTCCCCCCTGCTCCTCCCTCCTCCTCCCTCCTCCTCCCCCCCTGCTCCTCCCTGAAGTGGCTTTGTTATAGAGCCTGATGGCGTTGGGGACAAAAGAGTTTTTGAGTCTGTCCTTGGAGCACCTCAGAGAGAGGAGTCTGGAGCTCATGGTGCTTCTCTGGCGGGAAAAAAAATGAGTTCAGGGGATGGCTCTGATTGGACAAGACTGGAGAGTGTTCTTTGCTCCACCACCTCCTCCACTGACTCCAGACCCAGACCCACCACAGAGCCCGTCTTTCTAACAAGCCGGTTCTGCCTCTCAGTGTCCCTCTTTCTTAAGATGAGATAAGATAAGAGTTCCTTTATTCGTCCCACAGTGGGGAAATTTTGTAGTTGCAGCGCACAGACAGGACAGTAGTAAGAGCACACAGGGAGCACACAATATATACAGAATACACTGCCCCCCCCCCCGAACAGACAACAGCATAAAGAAGTCAAAACACTCAGGCGAGCAAACAGACGTGCAGCCCCTCCACGCAGGCGCAAGAGAGTCTCTCATACTGATATGAGAGATGTGAATGTTCCTGATATATTACCAAAACCTATTTAAAAGGAGCAGTATGTAAAAATCTGGCCCATAGAGGTATTGCAACTTCTCCCACTCTCCTTGACTCAGGTTGCCAGATATGCTGGTACCAAAAAATCTGAATAGACAAGAGTTTTGTCAACAACAAATCTAGAACCAACACCTTTTTCACAAAAGCCACTGATAGAAATACTTTCTTTGTCTTTTTGCAGCCACGTGTTACTTTACCAGTGAGATTAGCTCGATGCTGTGAGTTCTCGCATCCCGGATCACGGACTTTCTGATCGGTAAAACGGTGGAGGGCGGGACATCGAAATGAAAACAATAACAAGATTTAGGGGCTGTAAAACTAATTTTGAAATCCAAATATCTCTGCTGAATTACTGTTATCAGTTAAAGAAGTATTAGAAAAAAGCCGGCAGACAGGTTTTGTTGTTCATCTCAGTGCATGTCGGAACACAATGATATGTCACCATTGCACTCGGTTGCCTTGGCAACCGAGTGTTTGCATGGGGTTATTTTAAAATTGAGCGACACATTGGATGAGTCATAACCGGCCTCCTTCACACTGCACACCTTCATCTCTGATCTTTTTCTCATTTGTGCAAAGCATTTTAAGCTGTAACCACATTTTATGCTGTAATGTATTCATATTCAATGCTATTTCAAATCAGAATGAATTAAAATGAATGTCTCAGTTGTGACGAGGGCTGGGAATCTCCGGGTCCCTGAAGATATCATGTCATAAGCGATACATGGCTGACGATGCGACTTTAGTATAAATTGTATATTGCACATATAATTGTCAATAATAGATCACAATACGTCTCATTCAAAGGTGTGTTTACTGCTTTGTTTTTGTGGTTTTGAGTTTGTCCTTTTTGTTTACTGTATATACCATTTAAATTAATAAGGTATATTGAAAAAATTGAGTTCAGGTCTGAATAGTCTTATTATTTTGTTTTTTCCTGGACAAAATGAGATGTGCTTGCATTGAACCAGAAGTGGAGAAAGAACGCTGCATTTGCTTTGTGTTGTTATTATTACCCATTGCCTTTGGGGTTTAATATTGAGGGTAAAATTAATATGGCTTAAAATAAGGAGTAACATGCCATGGTAGCACAGACTAAGCACCATATCAATAGTTGCCATAATTTACTATTTTGATAAATGTTCGCAAGACAAAATGTTGCAAAATACATGGTTTTGAGTAGTATTTATTGAGTTTACTAAGCTCTTTTTTACTGCATATTAAACTCAAATAGACTTAGGAGAGTTACGAGCAGAATTATGTTGTTCCAAAATTGTGACAAAACCATGTGACCCTCGCAGTGTTCATATGTGTGAGGTCACTTGGACACAATCGTCACCACTGCAGGGAGCTGAACCTGGCCACCTCAGACCACCCTCAGACCACCCTCAGTCCACCCTCAGTCCACCCTCAGACCACCCTCAGTCCACCCTCAGTCCACCCTCAGACCACCCTCAGACCACCCTCTGCCCACCAGGTCGCTCTGTGGGGCTAGATACATATCACAGCTTAATCACAAGGTTTACTTCAGCACAATTTGGAACAACAGCAGCTCACATCCTCCATCTTCACATGTTTATCCTCTGAGGGGTTGTGTTTGTGTATGTGTGCAGGTGCGTGTGTGTGTGTGAGTGTGCGCGGGCCAGGGGAGCGGTGGTTTTCAATGTTTTAAATCTGGGTGACCATTTAAACATGGCGTTAGATCAGCAGGCTGGTATAGTTTTCAACTCAACCCCTGCTTCATGAATGGACAGAACAAACACATAATGACTGGGGAGGACGCTCCCCTTTGCTGTTGTCTCTAAGGGAGCGACAATTCCCATAGAGACAGAGTGAGGGGCTCGGTCAAATGGGATGAGCTCAGAGTAGAGCCTCTGTTTCTCCATGTCGAGGAGCCAGCTGAAACTGCTCGGGCATCTGATTCCTACTGGACACCTTCACATTTTGGGTTATGGACAGATTTTGCATTGACTGAAAAATATCAATATTTGTCCAAATAATCTTTTGCAGCACACCCTTGCTCTATACCCAAGTTGGATGTGGCTCTGATGGACTGAAAGCATGGGTTTAAGAATGTAGCAAAAAGAGAAGAAGAAAGTCCAGCAAGCCCCCAGACACCTCAGCACTTCAAACACAGAAAAGGCCTCAGCAAAGAGCATGTTCCGGCTCCGCTCATGAATAACACACTGCTCTATCTCGTGTGGCTGTGTGTGCCTCTGTGTGTGTGTGTTTGTGTGTACGTGTGTGTCTTTCTCTCTCTCTGTGTCCGTGTGTGTCTTTCTCTCTCTCTGTCTCTGTGTACGTGTGTGTCTTTCTCTCTCTCTGTGTCTGTGTACGTGTGTGTCTTTCTCTCTCTCTCTCTGTGTACGTGTGTGTCTTTCTCTCTCTCTGTGTACGTGTGTGTCTTTCTCTCTGTGTCTGTGTACGTGTGTGTCTTTCTCTCTCTCTGTGTACGTGTGTGTCTTTCTCTCTCTCTGTGTGTGTGTGTGTGTGTGTGTGTGTGTGTGTGTGTGTGTGTGTGTGTGTGTGTGTGTGTGTGTGTGTGTGTGTGTGTGTGTGTGTGTGTGTGTGTGTGTCTTTCTCTCTCTCTGTGTGTGTGTGTACGTGTGTGTCTGTACGCTCTCTCTCTATCAGACTCAGCACAGGAGACCCAACTGCGTTGCTCAGTTTCTTTTATTTTCGTGGTCAGAAAACAGGATCGTTAACATAAAATTCCCACAGAGTCTGCACATGGACAAAGCACAAAAAGAAAGTCAGTCAAAACTGAAAAACATACAAGAACAAACTGATATGATTACCTGCACATGGACAAAGACAATCTGACAGAGACAATGGGGAAGATACAGGCTTATATACACAGAGGTGAGGGCAAGGACACAGGTGTCACACATTAGGGGCGAGGCAGGTAATCACATAGGCGGGGAAACAGGGAAGAGCAGGAAGGAAGTCTAACGAGAAACAAATTTCAAAATAAAACAGCTTTACATCACAGAATATAACTTAACCAGACATGACACTCTCTGTGTGTGTGTGTGTGTGTGTGTACGTGTGTGTCTTTCTCTCTGTGTGTGTGTGTGTGGTGTTGTGCAGTCACTCACATGTGTAGAAGGTTTGTGTTTTATTTGTGCTATAAATCGTGCCCCATTGAAGCTGTCTTTCTCTCATCTCCTTCAAAGGCATAAAGAAGAATCGATAAGCTATTTAATGAATGCAACCCTTGTTTACATGTTTCCATCCTGCCCTCACAACGTGATCAAAGAGTACAGAAGTACCAAGAGGCAAAACTCAATAATAACGTCCCAAAACAAATGCCCTCGTAACTAAGCCGCAGTGCCGCCATCTTGGACTGAATGCGACACAACTGTCATAGAATATAGGTAGTCTACAGGTTTCAATCAATTTGCCAATTCAGAAGCAGTTTAAGGAAAGTGAAAAGTTTACTTGGTTTTCAATTATTTATATAGGATGTACTCAAATGGATTGAGTAATGTTTTTGGATCAATTTTTTATTAAACACTTTTGTCAGATCACAAAGATGTCACAAACAACAACAGTATGCAAATGATCCAGGGCTTTTGGAGACGCCACACACGTTTCCATTTATTTTCAGACATAATGTTATTGCTGTATAGTTTGTCGCTATGGTAACCGTCTCTGGTTCAGTCCAAAATGGCAAAAGCGTTGTCAAAACTGCAACAGTTTTGCCCCTTGTTACTCTTTGACGTTATATTATGGTCCTCTGTATCTGTGTGTGTGTGTTATTGTGTGTGTGTGTGATCAGCATTAGGATCCACTCGGGTTCAGTGAGTGGCTCTAAGGCCTCTGTGACTCAGCACCTGTTGATGAGACCAGATGATTCTAAAGGCCAGACAGGAGAGTGGCGCACCAGCACTCCACAAGTTTGAGCTGCAAAGGATAATGTGCTTTATCCGGACCAGGATTCTGTTAGAGCAGTTGGCTGACACTCTATTTGGTGAGAGTAAAGGGAGCCGTGTTAAGACAAGGCGGGAGTACCTCTGGCTCTAAGGTTTCTGCTGTATTTTGTGTGATATTCTTCTGTAATTCTGTACTATCAAAAAATGTGGCACAAATAACAGCTGATGAAAAAAACAGCATTCCTTCTCATGCACAAAAACCGTGAATATATTACAGATTTATATTTAGATTATCAACAAGAAAAAAGAAATCTATATGTTCAATAGATAATAAGCTATCCAAAAGTGTGTTAATTTCATAATCAAAAGTTTACTCATCCCGCCGTGCTCCGTGGCCAAGACATGACGGTTGCTTGGATTTCTAATTTTCTATTTGCAAATCAACATTTTTGTGAAGCCATGAGATGAAAGCTGTTGGAATTTTGGAATTTTGCTGCAACTATAGAAGTTAGTCCACACTGTCAAATGTTACAACTATTCAAAGAAGAGGTTCGATAGTCGTTAACAGCCTGACCCAAACCACACCATTCTTTATTCATTTTCATTAAAAAAAATGAATGCACAAATGAGCTGCAAAAAGCATAACTTATCTCATAACATACACTTAACTTATAACTTATTCGCCACAACTATTGAATACAACAAACACAGATATTATACATGAAAAGGAAATAAAATTGCAACAGACCCATCGTGACTATTGTAGATCTTCATTTTTATTTTTGCATACACTGTAATAGGTTTATAACAATGCTTTGTACCACAGTGGTGCTCTGCAAAATGATAAACATTTACTTTAATTTGTTTTGTCGAATCCAAAAACACCATTTCAATGAGTCTGAGGAGCCACAGGTTGCCTACCGCTCTTCTGTAATGTTTGGAAATGACTTATTTTTCCTCCTAAAAGTCACAATCTTGCTTAATTATGGCAGGAATAATCACGACAATCACTTCCTGTCCCTGTGCTCTGCTGAAACCTGTTCCAGTCTGAACCAGAGTCCTGCAGATACTTAGCCCAGCGCTGTCCTGCGCCGTGAGGCCTGTTAACGGCACCCTAAATAATGCACAGGCTGACTCAGCAACGAGACGCACAAGGCCATGGAGGAGCAGCCTGCACGCACACATACGCACACACACACATACATACGCACACATACATATGCACACACACATATGCACGCACACATACATATGCACACACACACATACACACACACATATACGAACACATACATATGCACACACACATATGCACGAACACATACATATGCACACACACACATACACACACACATATACGAACACATACATATGCACACACACATATGCACACACACATATGCACGAACACATACATATGCACACACACACATACACACACACATATACGAACACATACATATGCACACACACATACGCACACACACACACATATGTACACACACATATACGCACACACACATATACACACACATACATACAGTACACATACATACGCATACACACACATACAGTACACATACATACGCACATACAGTACACATACATACGTACATACACATGCACACATACGCACACATTTGCACACACATACATAGACACACATAAACGCACACACATACACATACATATGCACACACATACAAACATATACACGGACGCACACACACACCACGCTCACTTACACTCTCACACACACACACACACACACACAGCACGCACACACTTCAGGTGAAGCAAGAAGACCTGCTCTAGAGAGATACTGTGCATAATCAATGTACATTAAAGCTCCGGCCGCCCACCTGCTGTAGAGCGCCTCGGAACTCTGATGAGAGCGCTGTAATGGGGCCTCATCAGTCACCGCCTGATGAGTCAAATTATGCATTTTCCCTTTCTAAATAAGTCAACTTTAAGGGTTCGAGCAGTGGGGAAGTTTTGGTCTTATTACGACATAAGGTGAGGACAGATTCTTTTGCAGAGGACAGTTCAGACAAAAGGCAATTTAAAGTACTGTATTTAACAAAACAAGAAAAGAAACATGGAAATCACACAAGGCTTTCAAATGATACATTACCTGGGTGTTCACATTAACTGGACTGGTCCATAATACAAACGCCCTGCACAAGAAGGGCCAAAGTCGCCACTTCCTTCTGAGGAGGCTGAGGTCCTTCGGAGTGAGCAGGCCTCTGCTCAGGACTTTTTATGACTCTGTGGTAGCTTCTGCCATTTACTACGCTGCCGTGTGTTGGGCCCCGGGCAGCACAGAGCGGGACAGAAACAGACTGAACAAGCTGGTCAGGAGGAGGTGAGGGACAGGAGGCCCCTGGACTCTGTGGAGGAGGTGAGGGACAGGAGGCCCCTGGACTCTGTGGAGGAGGTGAGGGACAGGAGGCCCCTGGACTCTGTGGAGGTGAGGGACAGGAGGCCCCTGGACTCTGTGGAGGAGGTGAGGGACAGGAGGGTGCTAGTCAAAGCCACCTCCATCATGAACAATACCTCCCACTGAACAGGACTGTAGAGGAGCTGAGGAGCTCCTTCAGTGGAAGACTGAGACACCCTC